AATTGTCGGTAAATGTATGTGGTAATATATGGTACCAATTAAACATTCTTTTAAAAATAAAAAAAATTAAAAACTAGTACATGTACACGCGCACATGAATGGTGGTGTGTATATTTGCGGAGTCGCGCGCATTACGATGTATTTTTGCTGTAATTATTGTAAACAATTTATTGTCGATGTTCGAAATTGTGAATAGTGGTTACGTATGAATATTACTTGAAATATTTTTCAATTCTTCATAATATTTTCATAGAGTATATTTCAAATGTAATTACATTTTCTTTTCGTATCATTTTATTATTAAAGAAAGAAGATGATTTTTAATTTTCACATCAACTGCATTATTCGCATTATACTGGCTTCATTTTCAAATTCATTTATAACTATATTATTTAATATAAGTTTTATATATAGTGCAGTTAAAATAAAACTTTGAATCACTATGTTCAAGAGCTGAATAACTTTCTTTTAAAGTCATGATAAGATTTTGATGAGATATCATTCTTTTATGCTAATGAACGTAAATCATTTGCTTTATGCTGTAATATCAAACAATTGCATTCCTAGTATTTGATATAAATACTAAGGATATGTAAATTGTTCTAAAATCTCACAAATTAAAATTATTCTATCATAAAATAATAATTTTTATAGAATATACTACTATAATTAATAAATACTGTATCTTTATCATAAAAATCTTGACATGCATATGATTTATTTTACGTCAATCTATGCTTTTCTTCATTCTCATCTCGTGCTTCATGTCATTAGCTTCGGAAAAATAATCAAAAATTAATACTTGCGTATGTGCATGAGCGCGCGCTGTGTATTATTCTGTTTGCACGTGTGCGCTTGTCCACATACGTGTTTGTGTGTGTGTGTGTGTGTGTGTACGCGGGCGAAGAAAAGAAAGAAATCCGATTAAACTCTGTGATGAACTTGAGGCGGCAGTATACAGAATCGTGTGACCTTGATCCTTAGAATAGAACAAAAAAGAAAACAACAGGACCTCGAGGGAGTATTAGCTTTCCCAACCTTCTTAGATTGCCGATGAGGGTACCAACGAAGGGAGAACCTTCTAGTGGAAACAACCACCAATTCCCACTTGTAACCAGCTATCTGTCTCCTCTCTATCTCTTTTAGATGCACACTCACAAAGATTTTTATGTTGCATGATCACCATCGAAAGTAAGTAAAGATTACATTATTTACTTTATGAATCTCTGCCTATTACAAAATATATCAAATAATACATATGTAAACAATATAAACTATCCTTTGATTCATCATTACTGATAAATTCAACGTTATACATCCCCGATCGATGATCCCCTTCCAATGATTAATCTAATCATAGTTTATTAGTATTCACTTTAAAACGTATAATTACAATTCAATAAATTCTCAAACCATAATCGAAGATGTCATATTTATTACGAAATCTAATAATTAATATAATTTTACATTTTTCTCCGATTGACATTTAAAATTGACATGATTTAAAATGATGCAATTCTTAAAGTAATTCTTACTAATACAAAAAATTCATTAGAATTTCTAGGGTTATGTGTTCCTCGTATATTATACATTAAACTTGTATTTGTCTCTGCATATATGCACTAGTGTTTGTAAATTTGTATATTTTTTATAAATTTCATCGGATATCAATAGCGTGCAGATGTCAGGGACGAAAATAAATTTTAACGATTCTATAGTAATAAAGCTAGGTGTCGCTTGTCTTTGTTTAATCTATGTCCTGGAAAGAAAACTTGATAACCATCGAGTATCATGTTTCATGTGAACATCACTATTTTTTAAATATTTCAGATAAATAGTTAATGAAAAAAGTGTAGAATTCTGCATTAAATTTCATAAAACATTCCTTGTGTAATTATTTATGTATTGGAAATAGTTTGTGAAAAAAAAAAAAAAACTATCTAAGGCACTACATAGATCAATGTATGGCATTGCAAAGCAGATATTTGAATTTAAAAAAAGCAATACTTATTTAGAAATAAAAAGCAAATCGATTTCAAAAATAGCTAACATAAAATGCAGCTCGAATGAAACAAATAAATAAATCGAAATCATTATGTAAAATTTGAATTGATAACGGCAACGTAGTCGTGAATTTAAGCTATATTCGAACGAAAATTAATTTAATTAAAAAATATTGATGTAACTATATGAATGGCATATCGTTAAAACGACTGTGTTTTGCATAGTAAAAATTTCAGGTAGATAAGACGAAACGAAGTGACAAGTCATAAGCTTAAATAAATTTACGAAAATATGCTTCCTTTGGTAGCTAATAATATCAATATAGCGTAAAATATAAAAAATGAAATAGCAAACTAAACTGACGAAATACGCAAGTAAGTACGCCAGGAGTAAATAATTATTCTTCCGTTAATATAACTTCACACGCCAACACATAATAGTGATAAAGAATTTAACAATTTCAAATACATATTTATTAAATTTTGATGCATGTATTGTGAAAGTTTTATATGATAAAAATCAAAACAAAGCTATAGGTATATCTATATGTATGAGTATAGATGTGTGTGGTGTGTGGGCATTCATGGGCAAATTGTATTATGTTTAATGAAATATGAGTAGTTGGATATTAGAAAAATGAGAATTGCCCTTCAATGTCTATAATTTATACAATAACGCCATTTAGCGTAATAATGCATATCAATGAAAATATAAAAATTTAAATGAAGCAATGAAGATAGCAGTGAATTGTCAAAATAACTATGACTTCCGAACTAAAAGTTTTAAATTGTCGATAAAAATACCAAAAATATCTAAAACATTAATTAATAATACCATGCAAATTGCATGATATTGATTTCTTGTTAAAATATTCAATTTCGTTGTATAAAAATACAAGAAAGTGCCATTAATGACGAGGCAACACAGCTAAGTCATAATATGCTGAAAAATATTCGAGCGAATAGCGAAACAAAACCCAATGACTGAGCCAAACACCAAGTCGAGCGAATCTTACCGACCGCCATTGTTGAATTGCATCTCGCTGAACCAAGTAGATAGTCGACTCGATTCTAAGAGAATGCAAACTCATGTCGTAGCGCGTATCTCCTGGGGACTGCCAGCCGCTTAGGTGAGAAGCTTAACCGCTTAATCCGAGAGTGCGACATCGGCTAATGTTAGCGGAGACGTCAACAAACGTCAACGAATGTCAGGGATAGCGAGCCGACTAAGCTCACCGGAGTTCTCCAGTGACCTTCGCGAGCTAAACAAGCACAGCGAAGCTTACAGCTAGACATTACACTATCTTCCATCCTCCTTTACTAACCCTTTATAAAAACGAGTAACTCCCACGGCTATCCCACACCACGACTCAGACAATTAGTCAAGCCAGTCAATTAACGGAGCTGCTGTTCGTTCAATGGACCTCGGTCGAAGATCGCTCTGGCCACGAGCACTTAAAGCCCTCGCCCCGAGCACCAGCCCCATCCCATCCACTTTCCCCGCGAGACAAGTGTACGAAAACGTAGATCGATCTGTCTCCCTGAGCCATCTCCTTTACAGTCCAACGGCCTATCTCTTGCTTCATTACCTACGGCTGTTTGACGGATCAGCACCGAGCGACTACGTCGAATTATTCTGGAAGCCACGATACCATTTAATCTACTTCTCTTCCTCCGTTTCCAATTGCCCGACATTGACGTCCGCGTCGTTTGTATGCGACAACGCACGCATTTTCATCTCAACTAAATAGCCACCATATTACCCTTTCTTTGCCCGTCGCTCCCAAACTCTTGTCCATTGTCTCTCATTATTGTCTGACTCTTTATCTGAATCATACGGCAACTCGAAAATTCTCCTCCCCTTCCACTTCTTCCCCCACCGCCTTCTTTTGTACTCCAACACGCGCATGAAGCAACCACAATCGAATCGCTGCCCCTGGCTTTTACCCTTCCTTCCTCTATTCCCGTTCTCTACTTTGATATTCAAACCTCCTTCTCTCCCTCCCTCCCCCACCCTCCCACCGCCCTCTCCCCCTTTACGCTAAACCCCTTATATTAGTTGTCGGCGCTCCCGGGTGGAGAGCATCGCCCAAACTGTAACGCGAATCAGGCTTTAAAGGCCCCGTGACCACGTGCTCGGCAAATATCCACACTATCTAAGCCAAACTATCGAGTACAAATTAAATACTGCGCACATAAATTTCATTACAATAATTAGCAGTGTATAATTGATTAGGATAAAATCAGAGCAAAGGGAACATAAAATGCGGAAGTAATTAATTTATGCGTTCGTTAAATTTCGTAATGTGATGTTTGCGTGCAAAGCTAATTTTCGAAATTCTTTACACCTATCAAATTGTTTAATTAGAATTAGAGAGTACAGTGGATAAATTTTATAATGACCTTTTGAAAAAAATGTGGCCTGATTTTTCTTTTTTCTTTTTTAATTAAATATTCTGCCTTTTAACGAAATACTTTTAGTTGAAAGTGACGATAATATATCGTGCATCGTGTATTATTATATTTATTATTTACACTTAGCCTTATTCAAATTTTGTATCCACGAATGAGGATTGATTTTCCAATGTCTTTGCGTTATTATTGTCTCGTAATTAAAAACAAAAAAAAAAACAAAAAAAAAACAAAAAAAAAAAAAAAAAACAAAGAACAAAATATCCTAATATCATTGCCGAATAGATTCGATTTACGTGGGAAAAGGATGATACGGTTGTAAAGGGTATTCGACCTAAGCGAATAATGCTGTCCTTCGTAGAGCATAACAATTCCAAATTATCATGAAAATCATAGAAAATTAGAGATACCGGCAACTCCTTACCTTAACTAATCTTAAATTCTGCAATAAAACGATCGTTACAAGAAAGCAAAGAAGCTCGATATCTTACGAAATGCGTAGAGCCAGGACGGTGCTATCGACCCGACGCTACAAGCGACTAAAAGCCATAATCTAACATATGTGATTCACTTATCTCATTGCAGTACGGAGCACCTAACAGCCTCGTATCCGGGCTCGGCTCGCAACTCTGCCGCTGGATCACTCGCAAGTTCGCGAGAAAGTAGCGCCTCTCAAGGTCCGACACCCTATCGTGTTCTGATGCTCGGCGCCTCGGCCGTCGGCAAAAGTTCACTGGTCTCGCAGTTTATGACTTCGGAGTTCCTTCATGCCTACGACACATCGATCGGTAAGTTGGGCCAATTTTCACCTACGCTACCCGACTATTTTTATTGCCGATAAACTCAACTGGAAAACTACCGGAGTTGGAAAGATATTGGAAATGATACTGCATCAGCCTGTAATCTAGTGATGAGTTCGCCATAAAAAAATTGATGTCCGTCCCACTTATGTGACAATAAGTTAAAAAATCAATTAAACCGCCGATTGTCACTGTGGATTCGCTTCTGTTTATTGCTAAATGTTTAAGATGTTGGGAAAGAACTTTTACGAGCTGTCCGAATCCCATGGAATCCCATAAGTCATAGATGTCATATAGGACATATTTCAACTTGGCCATATAAGAATGAGTTTTTTATTCTTTGTTTCTTATAATTGTCGTCGGTGTACGAGGATTAATTTTTTTATTGTTAATTTCTTTTATAATTGCTGTACAAATGCGTGGATGAAAATACTGCTTTTTGGGCAAGCCTAACCAAAATTATTATTCTATCTTTGTTCGCCAAAGGATATATGACTAATCAATTTTAATTTACATCCCATTACAATTAAATACAAATTCATTGAAATTATTTTTAACCCTAATTTGGCCACACGTTCAATGGCATATCTATTTATGCGAATATAATTGCACGTATTGTAGGATTGATGTCTTATCACATAATATATGAACAGTATGATTTATTAAAAACAATTAAGCACAAAAAAGTCTCGTGCGTACTATTGTATTTAAAAGTATTTAAATCAAAAATATACAATCGATCTATATTACATGACAATAAAGAATTCAAAATAGAGATATTTTTAAGAATTTTGGCGTTGAAAAAAAAAAAGAAAAGAAAAACAAATTTATTCACTATATATTTACATGTAGTATTTATTAAATTTCCTTTATTGCTTGAGACAAAAATGGTAGTTTTGAAAGTTGATGAAAAATTACTCTTAAATTGATGGAAAATGTCGATGTTTCATTTGCTAAGGAATTCACGTACGTATCTACTTTTTATACCAAAATTTTAATCGAAATTCCTCATTTTATATCAATAGAAAGATTTGAGTATAAATAATTTAGGCAGAATTACGGACGTATAATAAATGCACATTGAAAAATAATTGACTTTTAAAGCAATTTTATTTAATTCAACTTAGTATAATAATATGTATAGTATAATAATACATTTGGATACCTCTAACAACTAAGAGTTAATTTTAATTTTATTAAAATAAACAATTATGACCTTGACTAGTGCTCACTTTAAATGGCACTTATTTTTATAAGCTTACAAAAATCTTTTAAATTTATTTTCTTTTTTTATATGTATTTTTATATGTTTTTCAATGTTAAAATCACTACCCTCTTATGATTGTCAAAGAAACAGATTGACGAACAAAGTTTCTGCAGCTTTTTCTCTTCCTCGGTTCTTATCTGCCACTTATTCATTATGTAAGTTGAAACAGTTCTTGTATGGCTGGGGCAAAGTCCTAAGGGGACAATCTCAAATTCAACTCGAGTAAAGTCAATGAAATCGTTCCATGTCCTTGCTTCAAGTTTATTTCCTTTTATAGATGATATATGGAAAAGACAGAAAATAAATAACATGGATTATTTGCAAACGATCAAAACTAATGATAGAAGTATTAATCGATAGTTTTTCTATTTAAATATTTTTTTAATATTTCAAAATATAATGTAAATTAAAATATAATGCACCCATGTATGTATAACTAGATTACTGTATATTTCGACTATGTTAATGTCGATTCACGAAAGAAGAGAAATAGTATTAAAAAAAAAAAAAAAAAAAAAAAAAAAGGTTTTTACATACTCAACTGTAAAATATAAAAATAACTATATATAAATCATCTTCAGCAACATCTATTAATGCGGATTATAGAATGCGGCCATAGACGATTATGAAAATTCTGAAAATATGAATAAATATATAATCTTTCCAAAGTTTTTTATTGTAACATATTACCGCATTTTTTTATATATAGATGTGTGGTAAAAAGAGTAAAAAAATTTAGATATAAATTATATTTTTTTTTTTAATTCTTTTTTAGATCAGTATAGATATCTAGTAAAGCCGAAAGTAAATAACAACTATAAAATTAATGTCTGAAAATGTGAATATTTCGTTAAAATAAAAAAATTTTTAATTGTTCGAAACACTGTATAACACTCACATCAATAAAAATAATACAAATACAATAAATAGCAAATATAAAGGATATTTATGAAAAAAATTAATTTGAAAGTCTTATATGAATGACAGTGAAGAGATTATATGAGTGGCTACACCTTCTTCATGTGTCAAACCAACAATTCATAGATTCTTGGCATAGATGTTAAAGGCAGTTTCTAATAATCAGCTTTGCCTTTCGAATGTTAAAATTAAAACAAAAGATTTTACGATTAATCAATTATCTTAAAATGGACATATATACATATATTGTAATTAACATTAAAAAGATAAATTGCTTGTTAAACGAATTGCTTCTCTTTATTATGGTTCTTAAATGATGTTTTAAATATTACCGACAGAACTCTAAATTGGATACTTACGGAACACATTATGAATTTATTATGACTCTACTTGATGAAAAACATAATGATGCAATTTATATAATTTCACAAGTAACAATGACATAAAATTCATTCTAAAATTATTCTCGTCGAATTAAATTACAAAGCAAAAATTAAAATGGCTTTGTTTTCATAAAATTGGTAAGTAGGTGCTCTTAAAATGATACTAAGCGCCATTTAGAATTTTCGGATGGGATACTTTTATACAAATTAACTCTTGCTTGTACAAAACTAACTATTTCGAATTTCTAATTAATTAAATCAATCGTAATAACTTGTGTAAGATTATAATTTTGTTTTAATTTCACTTCAAGTTGAGATAAAACAGTACTGAAAGAGAATAAAAAGTTTTCAAACTAAGTAGTGCTTATGAGTATTGAGTATCATTTATATTGAATTTTATTTAAGTAGGCAGACTCATTCATCGTGAATTTACAGTGTAAATAAACTATTTACATATATTTATATCATTTTAAACTTGCAGTATATAAATAATTTATTCCTTTGAATTAGTGCAAGGTTATATATTCCATAAAAAATATTGTTTTCAAATGAATAAGTTAAAAAAAAATGTCAAGTTGAAGTTAGGATTTATTTCGTAAATCAAAGTTACATTTATTTGGTAAGAGAGAAAAAGCACATTTTCCATTACATCCTGCTTCAAATTAGTAAAAAAATGTTTTTTCTTTTAATATTTTATTTATCATTATTATTAATAGTTGAAGCGGTATAAAAATCTATATACATATGTACAATTTTAGACATTCTTATACGATTTTTCGAACTAAACTTACTAAAAGGGAAAATGAATTTATTCTATTTATAAAATTAACGAACAAAGACTCTTTTTCAAATAATAAACTTCTACTACAAATATACGGATATTTTCTTAGAATTACGCAAATTACTTAAAGAATTGACCGTAAAAAGTTTTAAGGTAAAATTCCTAACAATGTTTACGCACGTTTTATTACACACTACTATACACGCGATGTTCTAAAAATTTCTAATTAATTTTATTATAAATATAATACAATTTAAATTCGTTAAAAATCATTGGATTGAATAGAATTTTGAATAGAATAAATTTGACCTTTAAATTGTACATAATTACTACATAAAATAAAAGCAATTTTAATTTTTTTTTTTTTTTTTTTTTTTTTTTTTCATAATAATAAAACAATTTAACATTAGTACGTACCAGTAAATACGGCTAAATGTACATAATAAGGAACTATTGTACGATAATTGTTACAAATTTATAAATAAATACAAATGTAAAAAAAACATATTACTGATGGTGAAGAAAATTAAGAAATAAATAACACTCGTGATGAATATACATGTTAAAATTAAATAAAACTTCAAAGAAAGAAGAATGATAAAAGAAGAACCGTATAGCATTGAGCAATGAAGCCAAATAATTTAATTAGAACTTAAGTATAAACTCTTTTGATGAATCATTCTAAGCTTATAAGTAATACATTTTAATACAATATGATTTATGCTCAAATTTTATAGTAAAAAATTGAGCTTTAAAGGGGAAAGACATAAATAAATGAAAACTTAATGTTAAATTAGAGTTAAATAAAAATAACGAAATATTGAATGCAGAATTTTGAAGATAATTTCTTTTTTTTCTTTTTTTCTTTTTTTTTGTTTTGCAATATCGGAAAACTAACTGAAAAATATTTCCATTATAGAGCAAAATACGTAGGATAAATTATTTAATTCTAAAAGGAGGAAAATTTATATGCCATCTAATATTGAGGCATAGTAATTAAATTGCGGAGATTAAGATGAGTTTGTCACGCCATAAAAATGAAAAAGTAAAGTATATAAATTTTAAATACAAAAACATCTGAATAAAAGTTCTTTAAATCAAAGAAAAATAAGATTTAAATTAAAATGAAATTAAAAAAGAAATAAAATTTAATATAATAATTGATTTCATATGAAATAATGATATAGAATATTTATAAATAAAAAATATAAAATAATAGATAAAAAGAATTTTTCATATATAATATTTTTTTAAATACTGTAGTAAAACATTTTCTTCTTTTATTTTCAGTTACAGAAATGGATGTTTCAAATATCTTCATAATAGAATTAAATTATAAATTCATTTATTTTTCAAAATTTAAGAATATTACATGAGAAATAGTTTAAACAGTTTATAAATAAAATAGTTTACAAAAACATATTTTATAAATATTTAGCGATAATAGTTTCCATTAAAGTATTTAAATAGAGAAAGTAAAACTAATAAATTGTTTATTATATAACAGTGCTGTCTTTTGACTTTTGAAGTAAACATAATTCTTTATTATAATAAAAGAGGATATATTCTTTCGACAAATTATATTTTCAATACAATTGATTTGTTTATAAATTGATTATAAAATTGTTTATAAATTGGA